ATAATATATATAATATATATAATATTTTTGTGTATTTGAATTTCTTTAAGTTTATTTTTGTCATTCCAGAATAAGAGTTTTTATTTTTGTCTTGATTAATATTAAAGAACATTTTACAGAAGTTATTGGATTGCTTTGTAAAAAGTATTATGATAAAACTATCTTTAAAATGTACTATTTCATTCTATTTTGTTATGTTAGTCAAGATTTAGTGTCAAAATCACAAAAATATAAGTTAAATTTGTAAAATTTATGAAAAATAATAAGTCCAAACTAATTCCTTTTAGTTTTAACTCTTGATAACGAACAGCAGAAATAAATATTTGTAAAACATCAGCAATTGTTTTGTTTCACATTAAAAAACATGTATATTGAACATAAATTTATATAAAAAAAAAACATGTATATTATAACATAAACCAAAGCAATTAACAGTAACATGTGTTACTGTTAATTGCTTTGGTCATTTTAACTTTAATGTAAATTCAAAGCAATTGATCAATAAGTAAATTCAAAAGCCATTGTATTGTGTTAGTCTCTCAATAATTGAACAATTATGAAAATTATATACAAAGCTTACTAAATAATTAAAAGGAAAAACTGTTATTTTTTAATTTTCTTAAAATGATAAATGACAATTTTACTATTGCTACAAATACCAAAAAAAAAATATTTTTAAATAGACTTTTAATACATCAAAATAAAGTATAAGTAATATGAACTTTCAAAAGCTGCTAATAGGAATAAGATTGCAACATCTCTATTTTTTCCACGACAGTGATTAGATTCAGTAACACAATAATAAAATATTATTTCTATACAGCATCACATAAAAAACAATAAAAAACAAAACTAAATTGTTTTTAAAATAAAAACAGGCTAATGGTAGCTTAGAAATTAAAATAGTTTATATTAGTAATTTAGTAATTTTTTCAAATTTCATTTTATTGATATTCAATTAGAAGTTTACATAGATAAATATGTGATCAATCTATAGAGGGAAAAAATCTTATAAGTACTTCATTATTTTGATCAATGCTGTAGACACTTCAGTTTTTAAACCGAATACTGTATGTTGAGTGTGATTAAAGAATTTTGTTTGAATGCTGAAATGTTCAAAAAATACAGAACTTATTTGCATTAGTTTTAACTTTTCCATGATAAATTTCTTTGCAGCTTTATATATGTTTATGCAAGTATATACTGTTTTGTTATAATAGAACATGGAGTTGATTGATAAATTAAAAGTTTTTTATTTTTCATTAATCAATTACTGTTACAAAAAATAATCATAATGTCTTTAGAAGAAAATTTGTTTATAATAAATTAATAAAAATAAAGTTTTTGTTTTTTTAAAGATTTTTATTAACTTACTCTGTCTGTTTGTCAGGCTGTCTGTCCAGGTAAAAAGTTGTAATCCATCTACTTCCCAATTTTTGATCTAGTTGAAACTTTGCATACAAGTGTATTGCCAACAACAGTACATTTTTTAATAGTTTGCAAACATTTTTAACAATTATCAAAAAATTTGTGAATAACTAAAATTTGTAATGGTAGACAATAAGTATTATTAGTAACAATCTATAAAATTGATTAGAGGAAAGCAAGAGAATGCCACAGCCACATTGGGTCAGGAGGCATACAAAATTGGCCTTAGGATAAATGCCATAAAGACAAAAATTATGCATGTATGTAACATTGCCCAAACACAAGGAGTAATTGTCGGAGCACAATGATTGGAAGAGGTGGAGAGATTTACCTACTTGGGTAGTGTTATTTCCCAAAATGGTGATGCATAAATGGACATGAAGTGCTGCATCGGGAAAGCAGTGACAGTCTTCTGGCGGAAGAACAAAATCTAGTCCTCACCATCCATCTCATTAAGAGCCAAATTCTGCCTGTTCATGTCCATCGTGATTCTGATAGCTGTTTTTGCTAGTGAGTCCTGGAAGGCACTGGGAAACATCAATAGAAGGCTTGATGTCTCCCAACAGAGATGACTATGACGAATCCTAAAGATCTGATATTTAGATCATATCACCAATGAAGAGGTTCTCCAAAGGAGTGGGATGTGCAAACTTCATAACATTGCCATCCGTAGAAGAGTCTGACTGGCCAGCCACATTTTTCGTATAGAGAACAATAATATAGGATCCTTAAGACAGCCATGAAATTGGTTTCCTCTGGTGCCAAACGATTATGAGGATGCTCCAGGAATACTTCAAATATAACTTTTCTTCAAGATTTGAAGATGCTTAATTTGACTTGGGAGGAAGCTGAAACCCTTGCCCATGATCAAAATCAACAGAAAGTAATTGCTGCCCTGTATGCTACTTAGCATTGGAGCAACTACTACTGCTATATAATTTGAACCTTTTTGTGATTGCTAATACTGTATATACCAATTTTGGAATTAGATTTCCTGAGTTTTCAATCAACTATTGAGTTAGCAGAATTCTTTTAATTTTTCTTTTAAGTCAAAATATCTAGACTCAGACCTGAGATTTAGAAAGATTTTACATTAATATGTTTATATTCAAATATTCAAACATAAATAAGATATATTAATAAAATTTATTAAAGTAAAAAAAAAAAATACTCAAAATGCTACCTACATGAGTTTTAGATTTTATCCTACTCTGTGAGTATGATATTAACATCACACAGTGAATCAATAATAGTTTGCATAAAGAAATTTCTTTGTGTATCATAAAAGCCAAAAGTTCTGTAATCGACTTTCTCTGTGGCTCCACAAATGTTGGGATTTATTAAGGGAAAGGAGTAGCCTCTTTTTTATCTAAATTAATAACTCATTTAAAAGTTTATTTAGAATTAAATAAAGATTGTCAATTCCAAATTTTATTCAATTACAAAAAATTTCATACTTGGAATTTTTAAAAACGAATAATTTTATTTATGTAACAGTCAAAAATAAAATCTGAAAACATTATAATTTTTATTTATAATAACAGTATTTGAGCAATTAGAAGTTATTTAATTATTTATTTATCCATCAACTATACATTGCAATACAGTTCGAATTGAATTTTATTTAAAACAAAGTTGATATAATAAATATATTATTTTTGAATTAAATTATATTATATAAAATATTATAATACAACATATCATATATTTATATTTATCAATATATAATATATATTACATAATTATGTTACATGTTTTATATATATATATATATGTCTACTAAAATCAATATAAAATTTTTTAATTGCAGCTTTTATTAAGGTATTGTTATTAAGTTGTTGGCATATTTTATAGGTAATGCCAGGAGTAAATGCTGTTTTAAAGCATATGAGAGAATTTACTGATGCTATTCGTTCAGGAAGTTGGAAAGGATATACAGGAAAGTCAATTACAGATATCATTAATATTGGAATTGGAGGCTCAGATTTGGTAAATAAATTTTTTAATTAATTATTTAATATTAATTTCTAAACAAGAAATTAAGTTTTAATATCAGTTTGAAAATATGTTGTGAATCTAATTTTAACTTATAAAGACATTTTCTTTTTCAAAAATGATAAATATTATCATTATCTTTACTATATGATTTTGTTTATTAAATGTTATTTATAAAAAAACTATTGCTGATTGATTTCACAAATCTCAAAGATATACTATAATAATCAGTGATATTATTTGATTACATAGTAATTTTGATAACATATGTTAATTTGTAAATTTATGTAATCAAATAAATCTTTTTGTACATATGTATTATTATTTACTTCTATAATTTATTTAGATCATAGAGTAATCTTTTTATCTTGCATCATTAAGTATTCTTAATTAATTAATTAATTTAATTTGTATGAAATCATATTTAGACTAATGCAGTATAAAAATAATATGAAATTCAAAATTTTATATCAAGCTGATGTGACCGTAGGGTTGGTGTCTCTTTGACACCACGTCAGGATGTGACACCACTGAGTCTCGCAGGACTCTGAAATCGCGACTTTACATCACAGGAGCAGTAGCAGGTAGGCGGTTGGATTCGGAGTAGAGGTGAGGAGAGAGAAACAAAGAAGTGATTCACTCTGATTACATCTTAATAAACAATAACAAATTTATTTTATCGGACAGAAGTACACGATATATGATCTTATCCCTATTTTCTTTCATTTAACTGTTGCGAGAGAGAGAGAGTTTACAAATGACTCACGTGTGGATAAATCTATATATATATATAATCTATATATATAAAAATGAATGTATATGTGTGTGTGTGTGTGTGTGTCCTTCATGCATTACCACACCGTTTATCCGATTGCCGTGAAACTTTGGGAAGTTGTTTAATATACTCCGGGGAAGGTTTGTGGCATAGTACGATTGCCATAAAACTTCGGAAAGTTTTTTAATACACTCCCGCGAAGGTTTTTGGCATAGTATATTTATCCTACGATAGATGGCGTGCGTTTACACGAGCATTCGAGCACAATGTGTTCGATCGATTTCAAATTGTGAAGACCATTTCCCCCTTCAAAAAATATTTCTATATATGCATTTGTGAACTGTTATTTACGATATTCGTAATAATTTTTGTTTAATCACTTTATTTCAACTTTTTTTTGCTAATTATGTATTCGCTCGAACTTTGTTAAAACCTTAACTGTATCCCGAACAACAACCGAAGTTGTAGGAGGAAATTCGCCTATTTTACCGATCTAGGGATCCCCTTTTCCAAATTTTAATATCAACTCAAAATAATTTAAAAAGACAAATTACAATAAAACGGTTTATTATCCAACTATCAGAAATTTCACAACATGCCAAGGAAGAGAGGAAGGAGCAATTAAATAATTAAAATTATAAAGGATTAAAAAATATATATAAAAATGGGGAATATCACACTTCTGACAATCACTGCAAGTGTGTGGGCTAAATTTGGAGAATCCGTGCTTCTCACATGGACAACTGTATGTGGCCAGCTCACGCATCGGAAAATCTTCTAATTTATTTGCGAACACACCAGACAGAAAAACAAAAAATATCGTGTATCCACAAGCACTCCAATAAATAAATAGAATTGAAACGACACTTTGAAATGTTTTCCCAATGAAAATGAATAATAATAATAAGTTTCAATGAAAATGATAAAATGTAAATNACACACCAGACAGAAAAACAAAAAATATCGTGTATCCACAAGCACTCCAATAAATAAATAGAATTGAAACGACACTTTGAAATGTTTTCCCAATGAAAATGAATAATAATAATAAGTTTCAATGAAAATGATAAAATGTAAATTGAATTTTATTATAACAAGTTTGCTTGAATTTCGTTTCTTCTGAGATCTCAGCAATGCGCGACGGGTAAGCTAGTACCTTATAAAAAAGTTGAGGATGGATGACTCGATGACTCAAACACAGGATTCTTCGAGTGATCGAAGGTTTTTTTATTCGAATTGTTCGGGTAACAGATCTTCGGAGGGAGGTATCCGACAGGTGTGGAATAAGTCAAGAACTTGGGCGTGATAGGTATCCGTATGTTGATATCGATGGAGGCCCAGTATTTTAATATACTTTTGAGGCGACTTTTGTGGATGGACTTTGGAGGACGACTGACTTGATTTTTTCCATTGCTCTTCCTGGTTATTGGGTATTTTCCTTCTGGGGTTTTTCCATGAGGTCAGGAGTTTGTTGCCAATGGCCTGACGTCCAATACTGGAAATTTATCGAAAGTTCTGGGTGACACATTAATGACTAGATGGATCATCCTCAACAAGGAAGCAAGTCCATAGGAAACAGTTTTTATGATGGCTCTTGATAAAAAATCGAAGTCAAATGACGAAATTGTAAAATAATCAAAGGTCAAGCTAATATTTTCATCCCTTCGTCTGTCACACTCACATTTAATGCAATTGATGAGTATTTTTACTTTTACGACTGTTAAAACAGAGGGAAAGTATGGCAATCAGGCAAAAAATAACCCCCCAAGATTTTTACATTTTTGACTTAGGACATATTGAAATGTTGAGAAATGCAAAAAATTTGGGGATAATTTCTGTGTGTATGGATGTGTGTGGGAGGCACAATTTTGTTCACCCTGTTTGAAGCTTAATAACTCCTGTGCTTTTTGTCAAAAATTTCTGAAATTTTTCAGGGAGGCTTTTTTATTAGGTGATTAAAGGTCATGGGGTGGGGAGATAAAGTGGTCATGTGTCATATCTCAAATAGGGTTGTACTTAATTAATGATGATTTTACTCATTATTAGCATTTATAATTTTTTATAAAACTCATCCCTAATCTCAAAATTAAGTTTTTTGCTGTTTTATAATACTTAAAAGTATAATTTTAAAAACAAAATATTATAACAGATAACCACCAAAATTTTAAATGTTGCTGGTTTATTTTAAATTTTAAGATAATTAAAGAATTATTAATGGAGATTTCTTTTTTAATTCTTAAATACATTGTAATTATTTAAGATATTTATTCTCAACTTTAGACATATAACATCTTATTTTAGTGAAAATTTAATCATAAATACTATATTCTAGGGTCCTGTAATGGTGACAGAAGCTTTAAGACATTATCGTGGTAATGGACCAAATGCACATTTCATTTCAAATATTGATGGAACTCATATTGCAGAAACATTGAAAAAATTGAATCCAGAAACATGTTTGTTTATCATTGCTTCAAAAGTAAGAACAAAAATATTCATCCATGTCCAAAATTAAAGCAATAAACACAACCATGCATGGCAAAATATAGAAATGCACAGCCTTTTATCATAATCATCCAAATAACTTTCTGAGGCATACCTGATAAACTACTATCAGGTGATGTATCAAGAACACTTTGTCACTGTTAGCTATCCTAACAGATGATTGTTTATTAGAAACAATTTTGCTGTATATGTGATTTATTACATTTTGTCGCATGGATTTGCTGCTATTGTGCCATATTTGCAAGATAAGATGGCACTTTGCTGATTTACATATGACATAAGTTTGAGTTACTCATGTTTTATGGTGTTAATTTTACACAAGTTTTGTGTTTGTTGTTTTAATTTTGGACACCAGTATATTTGCAATCAATGGTTATCTAATTTTGTTTTTTACATTTGTAGACATTTACAACTCAAGAAACAATAACAAATGCTGAATCAGCAAAAGAATGGTTTTTATCTCATGCTAAAGATGTAAGTAATTATATTTATACATATTTATATACATTTTATAAATTTCTAAATATAGACTATACTTTTTCTTTAATGTTTTATATATTAATGGCTATTATATGCATTTACAGTAAGACCCCGCTTAACGCTGCCTTGCTTAATGCTGATTCAATATAACACGGTCTGCTCAAAGCCTAAAAAAAAGCTCAAAATTTATGCCAATTTAAATTATTGCGGTATTTCATTGATTCATGCATAATACGATTATTGTGAACACAAACCAATCAGCAAAAGGTGGCAAAAAGGTGTACTTTCTTTAAATCTATATTTCTTTGGTGCAGTTTTGGAAAAAATATAACATTACGGATGCCATAGGAAATATCGACTTTGCTTGGCATGAACAAAGTGTGGAAGAAGTTATGGCTGAAGGTATCGAAGAATTTTCAACGAGAAGAGCCTATCACTATATCATTAGGTTGACCAAACTCAACCTAATCGATACAGCAGGACTAGGAGATATAGACGAGTAGGATATTGAGGAGTTACAGCAGGTTTTTGGTGAGAGTCTTACCAACAATGACCTTCAAGAACTGGCAGAACATGGAATTCATGTGGAACTGAAAAATAAATATTCTGAAAATGAAAAATCCAAAGAATTTCTTTACAGATTTTCTTAGTAAAAGTTTGGTAACGATAACCGAAATCGTTGATCAAATTGTAGCGAATGATCTAGGTTTTGAAAGGAGTGCAAAAGCAAAACGAGGCATTTTGGATGCGATCTTCCACTACCAACATTTGATTAAGGAAATGAAACTTCACGACTTTACTGCAAAAGAACAAGAATTTCAGAAAAGTCATGACCTTTGTCACAAAAAATGAACTTTACATTTCTGTGTGCATATGTTTATGTGTTATTTAACATACTCATATAGTATTATACAAATTAATATAAAAATAACTTAAAATTAAAGTAAAATCTGTTTATTTTTGGTTGTGTGTTCCCCTATCCCTATTTACTCCATGTTAAAATGACCTCGTTTAACGCTGTTTCGCTTAACACTTTGTTGTCTAGGAATGCATCCCCGCGTTAAGCGGGGTCTTACTGTATTATGAAAATGTTTTTTAGATTTCTGTTGTTTTTGCTATAACTAATAAATTATTAAAAGTTTTATATCTGATTTTATAAAATATCAAATTATTAAAAGAAATTGTAACTTCTATATTTAAGGTTTTTGTTGAATTTTTATTTTATTTTAATAGCCAAGCTGTATAATAATAGATAAATTATGAAAAAATTCTAGTTTTGAGTAATGTTGTGGTATTCATATTAGTTTTTAAAAAGTAATTTCAGAAATATGCAAATAAATAAAATTATTTTATTATTTTTTCTTCTTTTATAATGAAACTCTAGCCTTCAGCAGTTGCAAAGCATTTTGTGGCTCTTTCCACAAACGGAGTAAGTAAAATTTGATGCATTTGATTATAAATTTAACTGTAATATTCTTTAAAATTTAGAGATTTATGATGATATATGATGCAGTTTGCTTTTCTTACTTTATGATAAATATAATAAAAAGAAGTAAATAAAACTAGGTATGGTGTAAGATTTTAAAAAAGTTTGTTTGTTCAGAAATGAAAAAACATCTGAAATAAAAAAACATTTGAAAGTTTAAATTTTATATTATTTGTTTTATTTAATATCAAAATATTTTTTAAACTGAGATTCAAATCTGTTAGTATTATAATTTTTATATAATATTTTTATCATGACTCATTAATCTAAAACATTGTCTACTACAAAGAAAATCATAGTTACTGTTTAGAAACTAAAAAGTTTTAAAGCAATAATTTTATAATTTTGCATTTTTTCAAATCTTTGGCATTAAATAACATAACATAAGAAATTTTTTATTTTTGGAATACGGACATCAGAGAATGTTTCATTTTTATTTTAATAATTATAGGACCATAAAAATAAAAATAAAACCTTGATCATTTAATTTTGGTTCTTTTTATGTAGAAACTAATCCATATTTTGTTTTAGCTGATAAAAACAAACTGTAAATCTCTCATTCAAAAATGTAGATCACTCTCTGATTGGCAGCTGTATCTAGTATGATGCATAAAAAATTAATAAGTTGAATTAGCATTATAATTCTTTTTAAAGTAGCAATATTATTGAAATATTTTGTTTTATTGATGTATTTTCTAAAATAAATAAAATCAAGTAGTAAAAAGAAAGGCAAACTATTTCAATTAACAAATTTTGTAAAACATAAAGACATTGACACGTTTACTCATCATGTTTTGATTAATATTCCAATAATGTTTTTATAGAAGTTCAAAATTTTGATAGAAAATTTCTGAATTTTTTATCAGAATTCTAAAAATTGATTTTCATGAAAAATTATATTTTATTAAATAATGATATTTTTCTCTTTAATAACTTCATAGATTTAAAAGTAAATTTATTAAAACTACTTTATAAATACATGTAATTTATATTAAAAACTTTTTATTAAAATTAATATTTAGTTGCTTGTTTCAGCCAAAAGTGAAAGAATTTGGTATTGATGAAAAGAATATGTTTGAATTCTGGGATGTAAGTTTATTTTTCAAAAAAATATTTTCTATTAACATTACTATATTATCATAAGAGATAAAAGTTTTAAAATAATTAAATTATTAATAATTTTAATCAAAATTTTAAAAATTTTATTAAAATACTAGCTTACCCGTCATGCATTGCTGCAATCTCAGAAGAAACGAAATTCAAGCAAACTCGTTATGATAAAATTCAATTTACATTTTATCATTTTTATTGAAACTTATTATTATTATTATTCATTTTCATCGGGAAAACATTTCAAAGTGTCGTTTCAGTTCTATTTATTTATTGGAGTGCTTGTGGATACACAATATTTTTTGTTTTTCCGTCTGATGCGTACACGAATAAATCAGGTTTTCCGACACATACAGTTGTACATGCGAGAAGCACGGATTCTTTAAATTTAGCCCACATACTCGCAGAGATTGTTAAAAGTGCGATATTCCCCATTTTTATATATATTTTTTAATCCTTTATAATTTTGATTATTTAATTGCTCCTTCCTCTCTTCCTTTCTGATAGTTGGATAAACCGTTTTATTGTAATTTGTCTTTTTAAATTATTTTGAGTCTATATTAAAATTTGAAAAGGGGGATACCTAGATCGGTAAAATAGGCGAATTTCTTCCTACAACTTCGGTTGTTGTTTCGGGATACAGTTAAGGTTTTAACGAAGTTTGAGCGAATACGTAATTAGCAAAAAAAAAGTTGAAATAAAGTGATTAAACAGAAATTATTACAAATATCGTAAATAACAGTTTACAAATGCATATATAGAGATATTTTTTGGAGGGGGGAAATGGTCTTCGCAATTTGAAATCAATCGAACACACAGTGAAATTCTCGTATACACCTCGCGCCATCTATCGTAGGATAGATGTACTATGCCAGAAACCTTCGCATTAAAAACTTCCCAAAGCTTAATGGCAATCGTACTATGCCAGAAACCTTCGCGGGAGTATATTAAACAACTTCCCAAAGTTTCATGGCAATCTGATAAACGGTGTGGTAATGCATGAAGGACAGACACACATACATTCATTTTTATATATATAGATTACTGCATAACTATAAATTAATATTAATTTGAGATAAATAATAGTTTTAAATTTAGAAACTTAATCTGCAGTATTCTGATTTTATCTTTGATAATGTCATATTTATATATAGTAAAAGTTGAATTATTTTAACATAATTCAATTATCTACCAAAATGTGTATCTGCATGAATGTTGAATTTTCCTATGAATAATAATTACTTTAGTCTTTTATTAAGATAATATATTCACTCTTAGTTGAATAATTATCATAAGATTCATAATTTTGTTAGTTTGCTCTTCAAAAATCCAGATGTCATAAGCAGAACAATACGTAAGATCTCTATAAAGATGATTTCAACTACATAGCATAATTACAATACTTATAAGTAATAAAGAACAATTTATAATAATTTCCTAATAATTACAAACTTATAAGAAACAAATATTATTAAATTTATTACAGAACACTTTAGTGATCCTAAGCAAATGTTTAATCTGATTTTAGATAACATGAAGTAGATCAAGCAAAAGTATTTACATTTGTCTATAATATGTTTGGCCAATATTGTGGTTTAACTATTTCTCATATCAAGACTCATTTGTATAGACTATACATAAAAACTTTGAATTATTTTATGAAAAATAAAAAATTCGGAACATATAATTAGCTTAGTTTTTACATTTTTAATGTTTTTGAATATTTCTTATATATTTAAAAAATATTGAAATCTGTTGCAATGATTTGAGAAAAATAAATGTTTAAAGCTAGTAATGAAGATTGTACAAGATTTGAAGTTCTGAAAATCTGGTTTTTTGGGAAATTGTCCAAGATTTTTAATGAAAATTATATTTCTTTATAAATATACTGTATAATTTCCAAATGTAATGTATAATAATTCTTAAAACAGAAATCCATGAAACAGAATTTACTAAGCTCATACAAGAAAATGAATAGACTACTGTATATATTTGGGATTCTTAATAATCATTCTTATGTGATTAAAATTTATAACATTTTAATTTTTTTTATTTAATTGCAATTTTATAATTTGTATGAAAAGACAAAATAATTTTTGTTTTTATTATTATTATAGATCAAAAATTGTCTGTTCCAGTATGTTATTTCTCTCAAATTTTCTAAACATTGATTATGATGTTTTTAGTCATTTAAATTATAAATTTATATTTGTCTTTAATTAATTGCTGGTAATATACTTGAAAATATAACCCGAAAATTGATGATTCTTCTGAATATAAATTATTTAGAATTTATACAATATGCTTAGAAGTCTGAATAAAATATTTTTACTAAATTAACAAAAATTGTATAAATTTTATTAATTTAGTGGGTTGGTGGAAGATATTCTTTGTGGTCTGCAATTGGCTTATCTATTTCACTCTTCATTGGTAAGCAAGTTTTTGTATTTTTATTAATAATTATAAAATATTAAATTTTTCTACAAAATTTTTAGATATACTTTCATACTTATTTTTATAAAGATAAATGATAAGAGTAAATTTTTGCAGAATTTTGTGCCTTCACAGGAACTATTGACACAGTGTTCACAAATACAGAGACAAATACAAATAAGAGTGTGTGCTATCAATATAACTTTTATATAAACAATAAGAATAATAGGTTATTCTTGTTAATATAAATTTGTAATATAAAATTAGATTAAAAAATAGTCTTATTTTCATTATCTTTTCTCTACTAATATACATTTCCATTTTGAAATTATTTATCTTATAATATTACATATATTCATAAATGCAAAAACTTAATTATTAACAAACTGTATGAAAATAAGAATACAAAAGTTTTTTTTTTCTATGAATGTATGTCTCTTTAATCCGAAATTAAGTTTGGTAGACTATCATTACAGCTTTCAGGTTTTAGACACTTCTTTTATTGTTTTCACATATGCATTTTGGCAGTTTTTTTTAATTGAATTGTGAGAAATTTTAGTTAAATTTTGAACCATAAATGTCTAATTAATTAAATATATAATTATATATTTTATTGTAAATACCTAATTTTGAGAGATAATTCATATGAGGTGGAATCTCAGTTTAATAATTTGTTGCAAAATGTGGATATAGCACAAAATATTTAAAATATCCAAATTAAACTATTACAATATCTGTAAAAGGTACTACATATATAAAGTTATCATATTCTACAATATTTATATTATAACAATCTAATTTTGTGTTTTACATTAACAATTTAATTATAAAAATACAAATGGAACAAGTTGTGCAGAATCAATATTTTAAATTTGAAAAATGCAAACAAAGTACAACTGGAAAATTTTGATACATGCAATTATTATTAAATACAATTGTGTAATCTTTCCACATACTGTCTCATAAAGATTGCACTGTATAATATTAATAAATTATTTATGAAACTGTCAATAATAATCTTAGATTTTTTATTTATTTTATTCTCCTTAATTAAAGTATGGTTGTCCTCTATGTATGATTTATATAGGCAGATTCATGCCTTCATGGATGGCAAATGGTTTGGTTAATCCATTCCCAGCACCACTGAATCACATTCCCAAGTCAGTAAACTATGCCTCTCCAGCTTCTGACACTCCAAATATGAAGAACTATTGAATGCTGGGTATTGGTGAATACTCTGGTTTACATGTTATTTTCTCAAGTAGTGTACTCAATATGATATAGTAAAGTTTTTGCTCTGTATTTTCAGAGATGTTGGATTAAAATAGTAAAAACATAAGTAAAGCATTTTAATTAAAAGTTTAGCATTTTCTGTTAATTATAAATGGTCGCATAAGTGCCTAGACATTCATCTAGACTTTTGTTTTACATGGTACCTGCTGACATCAACCTCTATGTAAAACAAGACCATCTGTATAATTTTATAGTAATGTATTTGATTTATTATTAAATTTTTCATTTTTTTGAAATCCAAAATATTCATATATTTTCATATTAATAAATAAAATAGTTATTAATATTATATTACATTAGGAGGTTTGAAATCAAATTATTCAAAGCAAATTTGTATTGTTTACAGGGATTACTTTTTACTATGGAAGATTTATTTCTTATACAAGATTCTAATAAATTAAATATTGAAATTATGCTGTAATGTGAATAATAATATATATGTAATGTGAATAATAAGTATAGAAATTATATTGGGCAAGAAAAGAAAAATCCCATTGTTACATATCATGTAGGAATTGAAAATCAGTATTTGTTATTAGCTTTTGCAAAAATGTTTTTCTATATATTAATACTTATATCTGCCATTATATTATTTTTTAAAGTCTCTACAAATAAAAGTAATGTTTAATTAGTAAAGATTCCTCTGAGAATACTTGTGTACACATAATAATAATGTGTATATATAAGATTAAAAATATATGCAGTATATATATATATATATATATAAGCATAAATTAAATGCATCTAATATTAATTTAACTTGTATGGCTCTAATTTTAAATTAATAATAATAAACTTTAATTATTAATGATATATACTATCAGGCCACAGATGAAGAGAGCCCAGACATTATTGTGCATGGACAAAAAAGACAGTCTATTATGAAAATAGAGCAGTTACTTCAGAAATAAGTTAGTTTACTTTGGTAAACAAATTCATAAATAAAATTAGAACTCAATTAATAGTTATTGTATTAACAATTTACCCTTCAGAATCTATACTTATTAATTTGGCTAAATTGCTTGCAAATAATAATAAGCACATTATGAATAATGCACCTGCTTTGACCTCAAAATTGTTTGTTACCTAAACATGTGAAGATGTTGGATCTATAATCAAATTAATTCAATACAAATGTACACTATTGTATAGAAAGAAAAATGGTAAACTATAGCTCAACAACAATGCTGAACAATGAGCACTGATTTGCATTTGTTCCATTTTTCTCATCCAGCATGGAAACAGACCATTCCTGGAAATCTGCCAAATAGGGCTCCGGGATCTGTAGTCAGACAGTAGTATCATAATTCTTTATATAACACCTTGAATTGTATAAATTTTGTGTAAAAAAATTGGCATTTTTATAAAACATTATATGATAAATTTGAAGTTCTTAAATTTTTCTTATATATAATTAATTAAAGTGTTATCTTTTATTTTATTCAGGAATGGATAATTTTGAAGAATTATTATCTGGAGCTCATTTTATTGATGAACATTTTAAGACAGCATCTCTTGAAAAAAATGTTAGATTCATTTTATAATTTAGTAGTAAAATTTAAAATTAATTTTGCTTATTTTCTATAAAATATACAGAGGGTTGTGCTAGAACAAATGGTTCTAGAATCTTGTTTGTTATAGCATCTGTTCTAGCATGTATTGAAGTATATGTATTTAGAGATAGAGATAATCTGTTCCAGGCCCACAGCCTAGAGCAAATTACCATAAATACCATTTAAACAGGAAAATATATAGTACAAAACCAAAAATATAAGTGTAAAATAATATAATATAAAATTAATTTATTTATTATACTATATGTATAAATCTGAAAAGCATAATCAATCTTTCCGTAATGAAAACTAGGAACAAACTTTCTGTAATAAAAAGCATACAGTTTAATGCACATGAAAAGAAGATAACTGAACTTTATAAACAATAACAAAGATGATAGTTTGTTCTCTAATCAAAGTGGGTAAGCCCTGACAATTCTGATTTTATTGATAATATCTGTTCATTGTATCATACTCAGCTGTAAAATAAATTTTAATAGTAAATATTAAAACATATTACATGTCAATTCAAATAAACAAATTTTCCACAATATTAAAATATCAGAACATATAAGACAAAAACCTTTTTTTAATATTTATTATACACTTTAATAATAAAATATCATTAAAATTTTTATTGTTAAAGTAAAATAAATATTTTAAAAAGTTTTGNTATAATTTTTATATAATATTTTTATCATGACTCATTAATCTAAAACATTGTCTACTACAAAGAAAATCATAGTTACTGTTTAGAAACTAAAAAGTTTTAAAGCAATAATTTTATAATTTTGCATTTTTTCAAATCTTTGGCATTAAATAACATAACATAAGAAATTTTTTATTTTTGGAATACGGACATCAGAGAATGTTTCATTTTTATTTTAATAATTATAGGACCATAAAAATAAAAATAAAACCTTGATCATTTAATTTTGGTTCTTTTTATGTAGAAACTAATCCATATTTTGTTTTAGCTGATAAAAACAAACTGTAAATCTCTCATTCAAAAATGTAGATCACTCTCTGATTGGCAGCTGTATCTAGTATGATGCATAAAAAATTAATAAGTTGAATTAGCATTATAATTCTTTTTAAAGTAGCAATATTATTGAAATATTTTGTTTTATTGATGTATTTTCTAAAATAAATAAAATCAAGTAGTAAAAAGAAAGGCAAACTATTTCAATTAACAAATTTTGTAAAACATAAAGACATTGACACGTTTACTCATCATGTTTTGATTAATATTCCAATAATGTTTTTATAGAAGTTCAAAATTTTGATAGAAAATTTCTGAATTTTTTATCAGAATTCTAAAAATTGATTTTCATGAAAAATTATATTTTATTAAATAATGATATTTTTCTCTTTAATAACTTCATAGATTTAAAAGTAAATTTATTAAAACTACTTTATAAATACATGTAATTTATATTAAAAACTTTTTATTAAAATTAATATTTAGTTGCTTGTTTCAGCCAAAAGTGAAAGAATTTGGTATTGATGAAAAGAATATGTTTGAATTCTGGGATGTAAGTTTATTTTTCAAAAAAATATTTTCTATTAACATTACTATATTATCATAAGAGATAAAAGTTTTAAAATAATTAAATTATTAATAATTTTAATCAAAATTTTAAAAATTTTATTAAAATACTAGCTTACCCGTCATGCATTGCTGCAATCTCAGAAGAAACGAAATTCAAGCAAACTCGTTATGATAAAATTCAATTTACATTTTATCATTTTTATTGAAACTTATTATTATTATTATTCATTTTCATCGGGAAAACATTTCAAAGTGTCGTTTCAGTTCTATTTATTTATTGGAGTGCTTGTGGATACACAATATTTTTTGTTTTTCCGTCTGATGCGTACACGAATAAATCAGGTTTTCCGACACATACAGTTGTACATGCGAGAAGCACGGATTCTTTAAATTTAGCCCACATACTCGCAGAGATTGTTAAAAGTGCGATATTCCCCATTTTTATATATATTTTTTAATCCTTTATAATTTTGATTATTTAATTGCTCCTTCCTCTCTTCCTTTCTGATAGTTGGATAAACCGTTTTATTGTAATTTGTCTTTTTAAATTATTTTGAGTCTATATTAAAATTTGAAAAGGGGGATACCTAGATCGGTAAAATAGGCGAATTTCTTCCTACAACTTCGGTTGTTGTTTCGGGATACAGTTAAGGTTTTAACGAAGTTTGAGCGAATACGTAATTAGCAAAAAAAAAGTTGAAATAAAGTGATTAAACAGAAATTATTACAAATATCGTAAATAACAGTTTACAAATGCATATATAGAGATATTTTTTGGAGGGGGGAAATGGTCTTCGCAATTTGAAATCAATCGAACACACAGTGAAATTCTCGTATACACCTCGCGCCATCTATCGTAGGATAGATGTACTATGCCAGAAACCTTCGCATTAAAAACTTCCCAAAGCTTAATGGCAATCGTACTATGCCAGAAACCTTCGCGGGAGTATATTAAACAACTTCCCAAAGTTTCATGGCAATCTGATAAACGGTGTGGTAATGCATGAAGGACAGACACACATACATTCATTTTTATATATATAGATTACTGCATAACTATAAATTAATATTAATTTGAGATAAATAATAGTTTTAAATTTAGAAACTTAATCTGCAGTATTCTGATTTTATCTTTGATAATGTCATATTTATATATAGTAAAAGTTGAATTATTTTAACATAATTCAATTATCTACCAAAATGTGTATCTGCATGAATGTTGAATTTTCCTATGAATAATAATTACTTTAGTCTTTTATTAAGATAATATATTCACTCTTAGTTGAATAATTATCATAAGATTCATAATTTTGTTAGTTTGCTCTTCAAAAATCCAGATGTCATAAGCAGAACAATACGTAAGATCTCTATAAAGATGATTTCAACTACATAGCATAATTACAATACTTATAAGTAATAAAGAACAATTTATAATAATTTCCTAATAATTACAAACTTATAAGAAACAAATATTATTAAATTTATTACAGAACACTTTAGTGATCCTAAGCAAATGTTTAATCTGATTTTAGATAAATCCTCTAACATGAAGTAGATCAAGCAAAAGTATTTACATTTGTCTATAATATGTTTGGCCAATATTGTGGTTTAACTATTTCTCATATCAAGACTCATTTGTATAGACTATACATAAAAACTTTGAATTATTTTATGAAAAATAAAAAATTCGGAACATATAATTAGCTTAGTTTTTACATTTTTAATGTTTTTGAATATTTCTTATATATTTAAAAAATATTGAAATCTGTTGCAATGATTTGAGAAAAATAAATGTTTAAAGCTAGTAATGAAGATTGTACAAGATTTGAAGTTCTGAAAATCTGGTTTTTTGGGAAATTGTCCAAGATTTTTAATGAAAATTATATTTCTTTATAAATATACTGTATAATTTCCAAATGTAATGTATAATAATTCTTAAAACAGAAATCCATGAAACAGAATTTACTAAGCTCATACAAGAAAATGAATAGACTACTGTATATATTTGGGATTCTTAATAATCATTCTTATGTGATTAAAATTTATAACATTTTAATTTTTTTTATTTAATTGCAATTTTATAATTTGTATGAAAAGACAAAATAATTTTTGTTTTTATTATTATTATAGATCAAAAATTGTCTGTTCCAGTATGTTATTTCTCTCAAATTTTCTAAACATTGATTATGATGTTTTTAGTCATTTAAATTATAAATTTATATTTGTCTTTAATTAATTGCTGGTAATATACTTGAAAATATAACCCGAAAATTGATGATTCTTCTGAATATAAATTATTTAGAATTTATACAATATGCTTAGAAGTCTGAATAAAATATTTTTACTAAATTAACAAAAATTGTATAAATTTTATTAATTTAGTGGGTTGGTGGAAGATATTCTTTGTGGTCTGCAATTGGCTTATCTATTTCACTCTTCATTGGTAAGCAAGTTTTTGTATTTTTATTAATAATTATAAAATATTAAATTTTTCTACAAAATTTTTAGATATACTTTCATACTTATTTTTATAAAGATAAATGATAAGAGTAAATTTTTGCAGAATTTTGTGCCTTCACAGGAACTATTGACACAGTGTTCACAAATACAGAGACAAATACAAATAAGAGTGTGTGCTATCAATATAACTTTTATATAAACAATAAGAATAATAGGTTATTCTTGTTAATATAAATTTGTAATATAAAATTAGATTAAAAAATAGTCTTATTTTCATTATCTTTTCTCTACTAATATACATTTCCATTTTGAAATTATTTATCTTATAATATTACATATATTCATAAATGCAAAAACTTAATTATTAACAAACTGTATGAAAATAAGAATACAAAAGTTTTTTTTTTCTATGAATGTATGTCTCTTTAATCCGAAATTAAGTTTGGTAGACTATCATTACAGCTTTCAGGTTTTAGACACTTCTTTTATTGTTTTCACATATGCATTTTGGCAGTTTTTTTTAATTGAATTGTGAGAAATTTTAGTTAAATTTTGAACCATAAATGTCTAATTAATTAAATATATAATTATATATTTTATTGTAAATACCTAATTTTGAGAGATAATTCATATGAGGTGGAATCTCAGTTTAATAATTTGTTGCAAAATGTGGATATAGCACAAAATATTTAAAATATCCAAATTAAACTATTACAATATCTGTAAAAGGTACTACATATATAAAGTTATCATATTCTACAATATTTATATTATAACAATCTAATTTTGTGTTTTACATTAACAATTTAATTATAAAAATACAAATGGAACAAGTTGTGCAGAATCAATATTTTAAATTTGAAAAATGCAAACAAAGTACAACTGGAAAATTTTGATACATGCAATTATTATTAAATACAATTGTGTAATCTTTCCACATACTGTCTCATAAAGATTGCACTGTATAATATTAATAAATTATTTATGAAACTGTCAATAATAATCTTAGATTTTTTATTTATTTTATTCTCCTTAATTAAAGTATGGTTGTCCTCTATGTATGATTTATATAGGCAGATTCATGCCTTCATGGATGGCAAATGGTTTGGTTAATCCATTCCCAGCACCACTGAATCACATTCCCAAGTCAGTAAACTATGCCTCTCCAGCTTCTGACACTCCAAATATGAAGAACTATTGAATGCTGGGTATTGGTGAATACTCTGGTTTACATGTTATTTTCTCAAGTAGTGTACTCAATATGATATAGTAAAGTTTTTGCTCTGTATTTTCAGAGATGTTGGATTAAAATAGTAAAAACATAAGTAAAGCATTTTAATTAAAAGTTTAGCATTTTCTGTTAATTATAAATGGTCGCATAAGTGCCTAGACATTCATCTAGACTTTTGTTTTACATGGTACCTGCTGACATCAACCTCTATGTAAAACAAGACCATCTGTATAATTTTATAGTAATGTATTTGATTTATTATTAAATTTTTCATTTTTTTGAAATCCAAAATATTCATATATTTTCATATTAATAAATAAAATAGTTATTAATATTATATTACATTAGGAGGTTTGAAATCAAATTATTCAAAGCAAATTTGTATTGTTTACAGGGATTACTTTTTACTATGGAAGATTTATTTCTTATACAAGATTCTAATAAATTAAATATTGAAATTATGCTGTAATGTGAATAATAATATATATGTAATGTGAATAATAAGTATAGAAATTATATTGGGCAAGAAAAGAAAAATCCCATTGTTACATATCATGTAGGAATTGAAAATCAGTATTTGTTATTAGCTTTTGCAAAAATGTTTTTCTATATATTAATACTTATATCTGCCATTATATTATTTTTTAAAGTCTCTACAAATAAAAGTAATGTTTAATTAGTAAAGATTCCTCTGAGAATACTTGTGTACACATAATAATAATGTGTATATATAAGATTAAAAATATATGCAGTATATATATATATATATATATAAGCATAAATTAAATGCATCTAATATTAATTTAACTTGTATGGCTCTAATTTTAAATTAATAATAATAAACTTTAATTATTAATGATATATACTATCAGGCCACAGATGAAGAGAGCCCAGACATTATTGTGCATGGACAAAAAAGACAGTCTATTATGAAAATAGAGCAGTTACTTCAGAAATAAGTTAGTTTACTTTGGTAAACAAATTCATAAATAAAATTAGAACTCAATTAATAGTTATTGTATTAACAATTTACCCTTCAGAATCTATACTTATTAATTTGGCTAAATTGCTTGCAAATAATAATAAGCACATTATGAATAATGCACCTGCTTTGACCTCAAAATTGTTTGTTACCTAAACATGTGAAGATGTTGGATCTATAATCAAATTAATTCAATACAAATGTACACTATTGTATAGAAAGAAAAATGGTAAACTATAGCTCAACAACAATGCTGAACAATGAGCACTGATTTGCATTTGTTCCATTTTTCTCATCCAGCATGGAAACAGACCATTCCTGGAAATCTGCCAAATAGGGCTCCGGGATCTGTAGTCAGACAGTAGTATCATAATTCTTTATATAACACCTTGAATTGTATAAATTTTGTGTAAAAAAATTGGCATTTTTATAAAACATTATATGATAAATTTGAAGTTCTTAAATTTTTCTTATATATAATTAATTAAAGTGTTATCTTTTATTTTATTCAGGAATGGATAATTTTGAAGAATTATTATCTGGAGCTCATTTTATTGATGAACATTTTAAGACAGCATCTCTTGAAAAAAATGTTAGATTCATTTTATAATTTAGTAGTAAAATTTAAAATTAATTTTGCTTATTTTCTATAAAATATACAGAGGGTTGTGCTAGAACAAATGGTTCTAGAATCTTGTTTGTTATAGCATCTGTTCTAGCATGTATTGAAGTATATGTATTTAGAGATAGAGATAATCTGTTCCAGGCCCACAGCCTAGAGCAAATTACCATAAATACCATTTAAACAGGAAAATATATAGTACAAAACCAAAAATATAAGTGTAAAATAATATAATATAAAATTAATTTATTTATTATACTATATGTATAAATCTGAAAAGCATAATCAATCTTTCCGTAATGAAAACTAGGAACAAACTTTCTGTAATAAAAAGCATACAGTTTAATGCACATGAAAAGAAGATAACTGAACTTTATAAACAATAACAAAGATGATAGTTTGTTCTCTAATCAAAGTGGGTAAGCCCTGACAATTCTGATTTTATTGATAATATCTGTTCATTGTATCATACTCAGCTGTAAAATAAATTTTAATAGTAAATATTAAAACATATTACATGTCAATTCAAATAAACAAATTTTCCACAATATTAAAATATCAGAACATATAAGACAAAAACCTTTTTTTAATATTTATTATACACTTTAATAATAAAATATCATTAAAATTTTTATTGTTAAAGTAAAATAAATATTTTAAAAAGTTTTGTCTGACTTCTTATATTTAATTTCAGAAAATTATGCAAGAGCTTAGATAGAATTCTACATTATTATGTATAAGAATAAACATACAAATTAAAAAATGTTTTTATAATAATCTGATTATTAAAAAATTCAATAAAATCAATTTCAATTCATTTCTGATATTTTTTTATATTATTATTATTTTATAGCAGTTATTGTAATTAGATAATTTTTATGTAGTTATAAAACAGTTATTGTGTTTTTCTAAATTTATATGATATAATTAATTATAATTTATTAAACTATTTGAATTCATTCTATTAAATTATTAATTTAGAAATATTTTTAAAAAAAGTTTTTCAATGTAATAAAATAATTTTGTTTTATTTAAATGTAATATTACATAATACATAACTTACATATTAAACATATTACATTTTTCTAATTTGTCATATTGTATAAATTTTTACTATACTATATTTTATATTTTAGGTTCCTGTTATTATGGCCCTTCTTGGTATTTGGTATCATAATATTTTTGGAGCTGAGTCTCATGCATTACTTCCATATGATCAGGTAAAAAAATTATTGTAAATTAATAAATTGATTATATATGAATTAATTATACTTTGAAAAAGAACAAATAATATAAACTAATATAAAATGCTCAATACATTATTGTTATTTATCACTATATTTTAATATATATACATATAAACATGGGTTAAAAGCAAAATTGTATGTATGTTTGTCCCCACCAAAAAATTTGTGTTTATTAGTAGTTATTATATGTACCTACATGTTATACATGTATCTATATATATAATCAAGACAAGATAATAATAATAATAATAATAATAATCAGCACAGAGCCCAAACAGTTAGGAGTTGAAAGTTGAAATTTGGTATACAGTTAGGATATGTCATGAGAATGCACACTAAGGCCAAGACTCCACTAGCATAAAAACAGGAGTAAAAACTATCACTGTAAAAACTTTTAATCATGTGACCTATTTGTGTTTGCGTCTGGATTGTGGTGGAGGTCCGGCTAGTGAAGTTTTTACAGCAATGGTACTATCGAAGTTATAAAGACAATGATTATATTCTACAAGTTTTTTCTGTACTATAATTACAAATGTAGTAAAAATAATATCTTTACTTACGATAATAAAAGTTAATATATGAATTATTAATTAAGATAATGTACAGCACTTATAAGCTTAGCTTTTTTCATTATATACTCCTCTAAATTGAAAGATTTTCTTTTGGCCGTCTATATCACGTATTTTAGGCATCCATTATTATAATTGGAAAACTTCTTGTATACATATAAAAATTACTGCTGGTATGCATTTACGGAGACTGAACAATGTACTGGCTATCAATACTTTTTATGTTATCTGCTGGTACAGTGTACAAGCACATTTTGGCTGGAAAAAAAAGGCCTGGTTGTATATTATAAATTAATATTTATTACTACTTTTTAAAAGAAATAATGTATGCAACATCAATGTAGATGAGCATAAAATTTAATTCATTAATATTTGATACTAATTTTGGAATCAGATTTGTTAACTCTTCTGTTAATTGAAAAATAGTGTTAAATTTATATATTAATTGATTGTTTCAGTTTTCTGACATAGTAAGTAAATGGATAGTGCTAAAAATATGGTTCCAGGTATCAAATTAAAATTCTTACACTGTAGATGATGCTGCTGAAGAGAGATTTGAGAAGGATGCAATGGTTCAGACATGGCAAAATGACAAAGATTCAATGTTAAGTCTACAGGACAAACATGTCAAGCAATTGTAAAACCTGTTATGATTCACACTTTTAGAACTGCAAATATAGAAAATAAAGGAACAAATAACTTATTTTAAACAAAAGAGAAAAATCGTCATTACCAACAGCTAAATAGAATAACTAATACTCTCAAACCTTAACAAAAGTGTAAAGGAATTGTTAACAAAGGTAAATTAAGTGGAATTAGTTTATTTATAAACGACAGTTCCCTACAAAATAATTTCATTTCAAATAAAAAGCAAAAAATAAGTTTTTTTTTAAATATAAAACAGCAAATATAAGTAAAAGCGTAAGTGAGAAACAACTGCACAAATTTTAGCAGAAATACAAACCTGATTCTTCCCACATGCCATTCTCCTACCTAAAACAAATTTGAACTCTTCCATTACTGGGAAAACCATTTAAAGCCTAGCCTTATGGATTAATCTATATATTAATTTAATTTAAAGAGGATTTCAGTGTTCTGACTTAGTTTGAGTAAACAGCTGGAAGCTAAAAATATGGTTCAGGTATCAAATCAAAGCTTTTATGCTATTTGCATTTTTCACCAGATGCTTACTCTCTGGTGTTTAAAAACAAAGCTATTTTATCTGGATCATTTGAATCGTTCTTATGTATTGTCAGCATTAAAGATGACTAGCAATAGGAAAAACAAAGCTTTTTGTTGCATTCCAATTTTCAATTCAAAAGCCACACAGGAGCCTGATAAGTTTTCATCTATTCCCACATGAAAAACAGATGATTATTCAGAAATCAGAACTTGGAGAAACTCAGAAAGTAACCAACAGACAGTGGGTTTGACTGTTAAGAATTGGCAAAAAAATTTCCTGATTGTTAAGCTTTATATGAACAAGTTATGCTATCAATTTTATAAGATTTTTCCTTAACGTTTAAAATGCCAGTAATTCTGTGTGGGACAGATGTCAAAGCTGATGTTTGAACACAACACAAATATGTATAGAATGATCTTGCTCATTTGTTTCCATAATATTACATAAAATGACTTGTCCCACTAGCATATTTGTTCTCCTCCTATAAAATTTCTTGATAAACAGCTGCAAGCAGCATATATATCATTATATCAGGCAGTAATATATATAATTATGTGGACTTTCTAAAAGCAGCCCCTATTATGCTTCTGACACCACTGTGTTTTCTGGCAAACACAGAAACCTTCGATTTTTTTCCCATGTATTTGTGGAATGCACGCAAGTGGCTATGTATGGGAATGAATGTGGGCAGATGGAGGAAGGATAGTTAGAGAGACAGGGAGATAAAGAAATAACAATATCTGTATCTCCCTGCAACAATAATATGCATTTAACAATAATTAACAATAATTTATTTTACGTAATGACTTTACAAGAGCGAACCTCAAATGGAAGAGTCTAGTTTATAATCACTTGGTGGGAGGGAGTTTACAAATTTCTGTGTGTGTCAATAAATACCTGGACTGGTGGAATCAGTTTGAAAGTTTTGACAAAGGGAAGGAGTGGAGGATCTTCCATTGGTTAGTAGATCTGGAATCCTGGATAATACAGTTCACAGTCAGTGTTCGGTTGTTAAAGGCAGCTAAGGTTTGATGAATGGCAGGAAGTTGAAGGGATCGGTAGTGGAGCACAGCTAGAATGAACACACACAAAAGGGGGTTGACAGGCAAACTCTCCTCTTGTCATCAGTCCTTTTCCCTTTATTTGGGGTCTTTCCCCTGGCATTTCAATGTCCATTTTTGGTGATGTGACCTGTTGCTCCACAACTTTGGTTTTACTTCCCTCAATGAGTAGTCATTCAGAAGCTGTGTCACTCACAGATGAAATACAATTTGTGGGAAAAAGTTCTGAAGTTCCTGAATGGTATCTATGACATGGGATCTTTTTTCCCCATTATAGTTTGGTGAAATAAATTTATAAAATTAAATTGGGTTTCTTTTAATCAAATAATTTGCACTAGCCCAGGTTCTCTCAATTAATTTACAAACGACCAGATAAAGTAACCATTTTGTAAAAATGTAGTGTCCTCTATAGTTCATGAAAAATGCAAATAAATGTTACTGCTGAAGAAAGATTTGAGAAAGATGCAATGGTTCAGGTGTGTTGTAGTGGCAAAGATACAATATTAAGCCTATAGAAAGGTAAGCAACAAACATGTTAGATACTTGCACACCATCTAGCAATTTCGGTCTTAATTATTTGAACAAACCATTGCTCACTACTACTGTGAATTCCTTCTTTGTTTGCTAATTACATACTAGTTAAAAGATATTTTTCATTATTTTTTTCAATAAATCAGTTTTGTCAATATTCACCTCAGTACCATCTATCAATTTTTAGTGTTACACACTGTTTTTATTCTACTAATACTTCATAATGAGACCAAAGTGTTATTATAGCTGTTTCACATTAGCAATTCATTACTTAATGCCAATTGAAAGCTTTCTCAACAAATCTACTAACTAAAAGAAGAATAAAGTTGAACTTGGTTGGTAGGTAAGAGTTTTATGATAGTCAGTGCAATTAATCTATTTGACCTGCTGCATCCTAGCAATCTATGAGATTGCTAGGATGCAGGTCAATGTTATCCACACCATTAATCTGAAATCCCACCAGTTGAAGTTGGTTGGCCTTATGAATGCTAAATTGCTACCCTGGGACCAGATGCAAAATTGAAAGAAGCCATTAAGAGAAAGGACTGGTGAGATAGCCTTATAGAACCAGAGAGAGCCCTGAAAACACTTGTACTTATGATTTTTGTGTAGAACACCAAATTTTAATTGAGCTCATTGTATTTTAATTGAATAAAACTGTTGATTTTGATGGGTTCCTGCTAATTAACTGTTATTACTGAAACTTGAGTAACAGTTAAGCCTTAAAGTTTTATCAATGTCAGAAAATATAAAATTTGTTTAAAATTAAAAAATGTTATAATAATCAGTTTTTGTTAGTTTAATTAATTAAATATTTGTTTATTTTAAAATTTTAACTTAATTATTTCATATATTATCATCAATATTCTAAATCAATCTAAAAACAATATAAAGTTACTTTGTCTTCAATCAATTGCTGTGTATAGTAAAGTTGTTATAAATAAAACAAATATTCATCTATCTTATATTTTTATTATTCATTCCTTCATATATTATTTTACACTACAAATAAAATAATTATTATAATATTATGCAAAATATATTACTCTGTCAATACTGTATGTATATGTGTATTGTATACTTCTAAACAGTTTAATGTTAAAATGAATTTTATTTTTATAGTATTTACATAGATTTGCAGCATATTTTCAACAAGGTGATATGGAATCCAATGGAAAATATGTAACAAGATCAGGTATGCAAGTGAATTACACTACAGGTCCAATAGTTTGGGGTGAACCTGGTACAAATGGACAACATGCATTTTATCAATTAATTCATCAAGGTATAAGTGAATTATTTTATAAAATAATTTTATTAAAAATTAAAATTTTTTAACTGATTCAGTTGATATATTTTTATTTATTGTGATTCTGATGCCAATTTTATAATACACTTAGGTACAAGATTAATACCATGTGATTTTATTGCACCTGTGAAATCTCATAACCCACTTCGTAATAATCTTCATCATGAGGTAATCATTGTATTTTTATTTGATTTAATATATATAGTTTCTTTAAACTCTCATATCAAAATAAAACCATCTATTATCATCACTTTCAATTATACTGAGTATGTACATTTAGATTAAACTGTACAATTATTCTACAGCAAAAAATTATTTTTTTNAATTTGTTGCAAAATGTGGATATAGCACAAAATATTTAAAATATCCAAATTAAACTATTACAATATCTGTAAAAGGTACTACATATATAAAGTTATCATATTCTACAATATTTATATTATAACAATCTAATTTTGTGTTTTACATTAACAATTTAATTATAAAAATACAAATGGAACAAGTTGTGCAGAATCAATATTTTAAATTTGAAAAATGCAAACAAAGTACAACTGGAAAATTTTGATACATGCAATTATTATTAAATACAATTGTGTAATCTTTCCACATACTGTCTCATAAAGATTGCACTGTATAATATTAATAAATTATTTATGAAACTGTCAATAATAATCTTAGATTTTTTATTTATTTTATTCTCCTTAATTAAAGTATGGTTGTCCTCTATGTATGATTTATATAGGCAGATTCATGCCTTCATGGATGGCAAATGGTTTGGTTAATCCATTCCCAGCACCACTGAATCACATTCCCAAGTCAGTAAACTATGCCTCTCCAGCTTCTGACACTCCAAATATGAAGAACTATTGAATGCTGGGTATTGGTGAATACTCTGGTTTACATGTTATTTTCTCAAGTAGTGTACTCAATATGATATAGTAAAGTTTTTGCTCTGTATTTTCAGAGATGTTGGATTAAAATAGTAAAAACATAAGTAAAGCATTTTAATTAAAAGTTTAGCATTTTCTGTTAATTATAAATGGTCGCATAAGTGCCTAGACATTCATCTAGACTTTTGTTTTACATGGTACCTGCTGACATCAACCTCTATGTAAAACAAGACCATCTGTATAATTTTATAGTAATGTATTTGATTTATTATTAAATTTTTCATTTTTTTGAAATCCAAAATATTCATATATTTTCATATTAATAAATAAAATAGTTATTAATATTATATTACATTAGGAGGTTTGAAATCAAATTATTCAAAGCAAATTTGTATTGTTTACAGGGATTACTTTTTACTATGGAAGATTTATTTCTTATACAAGATTCTAATAAATTAAATATTGAAATTATGCTGTAATGTGAATAATAATATATATGTAATGTGAATAATAAGTATAGAAATTATATTGGGCAAGAAAAGAAAAATCCCATTGTTACATATCATGTAGGAATTGAAAATCAGTATTTGTTATTAGCTTTTGCAAAAATGTTTTTCTATATATTAATACTTATATCTGCCATTATATTATTTTTTAAAGTCTCTACAAATAAAAGTAATGTTTAATTAGTAAAGATTCCTCTGAGAATACTTGTGTACACATAATAATAATGTGTATATATAAGATTAAAAATATATGCAGTATATATATATATATATATATAAGCATAAATTAAATGCATCTAATATTAATTTAACTTGTATGGCTCTAATTTTAAATTAATAATAATAAACTTTAATTATTAATGATATATACTATCAGGCCACAGATGAAGAGAGCCCAGACATTATTGTGCATGGACAAAAAAGACAGTCTATTATGAAAATAGAGCAGTTACTTCAGAAATAAGTTAGTTTACTTTGGTAAACAAATTCATAAATAAAATTAGAACTCAATTAATAGTTATTGTATTAACAATTTACCCTTCAGAATCTATACTTATTAATTTGGCTAAATTGCTTGCAAATAATAATAAGCACATTATGAATAATGCACCTGCTTTGACCTCAAAATTGTTTGTTACCTAAACATGTGAAGATGTTGGATCTATAATCAAATTAATTCAATACAAATGTACACTATTGTATAGAAAGAAAAATGGTAAACTATAGCTCAACAACAATGCTGAACAATGAGCACTGATTTGCATTTGTTCCATTTTTCTCATCCAGCATGGAAACAGACCATTCCTGGAAATCTGCCAAATAGGGCTCCGGGATCTGTAGTCAGACAGTAGTATCATAATTCTTTATATAACACCTTGAATTGTATAAATTTTGTGTAAAAAAATTGGCATTTTTATAAAACATTATATGATAAATTTGAAGTTCTTAAATTTTTCTTATATATAATTAATTAAAGTGTTATCTTTTATTTTATTCAGGAATGGATAATTTTGAAGAATTATTATCTGGAGCTCATTTTATTGATGAACATTTTAAGACAGCATCTCTTGAAAAAAATGTTAGATTCATTTTATAATTTAGTAGTAAAATTTAAAATTAATTTTGCTTATTTTCTATAAAATATACAGAGGGTTGTGCTAGAACAAATGGTTCTAGAATCTTGTTTGTTATAGCATCTGTTCTAGCATGTATTGAAGTATATGTATTTAGAGATAGAGATAATCTGTTCCAGGCCCACAGCCTAGAGCAAATTACCATAAATACCATTTAAACAGGAAAATATATAGTACAAAACCAAAAATATAAGTGTAAAATAATATAATATAAAATTAATTTATTTATTATACTATATGTATAAATCTGAAAAGCATAATCAATCTTTCCGTAATGAAAACTAGGAACAAACTTTCTGTAATAAAAAGCATACAGTTTAATGCACATGAAAAGAAGATAACTGAACTTTATAAACAATAACAAAGATGATAGTTTGTTCTCTAATCAAAGTGGGTAAGCCCTGACAATTCTGATTTTATTGATAATATCTGTTCATTGTATCATACTCAGCTGTAAAATAAATTTTAATAGTAAATATTAAAACATATTACATGTCAATTCAAATAAACAAATTTTCCACAATATTAAAATATCAGAACATATAAGACAAAAACCTTTTTTTAATATTTATTATACACTTTAATAATAAAATATCATTAAAATTTTTATTGTTAAAGTAAAATAAATATTTTAAAAAGTTTTGTCTGACTTCTTATATTTAATTTCAGAAAATTATGCAAGAGCTTAGATAGAATTCTACATTATTATGTATAAGAATAAACATACAAATTAAAAAATGTTTTTATAATAATCTGATTATTAAAAAATTCAATAAAATCAATTTCAATTCATTTCTGATATTTTTTTATATTATTATTATTTTATAGCAGTTATTGTAATTAGATAATTTTTATGTAGTTATAAAACAGTTATTGTGTTTTTCTAAATTTATATGATATAATTAATTATAATTTATTAAACTATTTGAATTCATTCTATTAAATTATTAATTTAGAAATATTTTTAAAAAAAGTTTTTCAATGTAATAAAATAATTTTGTTTTATTTAAATGTAATATTACATAATACATAACTTACATATTAAACATATTACATTTTTCTAATTTGTCATATTGTATAAATTTTTACTATACTATATTTTATATTTTAGGTTCCTGTTATTATGGCCCTTCTTGGTATTTGGTATCATAATATTTTTGGAGCTGAGTCTCATGCATTACTTCCATATGATCAGGTAAAAAAATTATTGTAAATTAATAAATTGATTATATATGAATTAATTATACTTTGAAAAAGAACAAATAATATAAACTAATATAAAATGCTCAATACATTATTGTTATTTATCACTATATTTTAATATATATACATATAAACATGGGTTAAAAGCAAAATTGTATGTATGTTTGTCCCCACCAAAAAATTTGTGTTTATTAGTAGTTATTATATGTACCTACATGTTATACATGTATCTATATATATAATCAAGACAAGATAATAATAATAATAATAATAATAATCAGCACAGAGCCCAAACAGTTAGGAGTTGAAAGTTGAAATTTGGTATACAGTTAGGATATGTCATGAGAATGCACACTAAGGCCAAGACTCCACTAGCATAAAAACAGGAGTAAAAACTATCACTGTAAAAACTTTTAATCATGTGACCTATTTGTGTTTGCGTCTGGATTGTGGTGGAGGTCCGGCTAGTGAAGTTTTTACAGCAATGGTACTATCGAAGTTATAAAGACAATGATTATATTCTACAAGTTTTTTCTGTACTATAATTACAAATGTAGTAAAAATAATATCTTTACTTACGATAATAAAAGTTAATATATGAATTATTAATTAAGATAATGTACAGCACTTATAAGCTTAGCTTTTTTCATTATATACTCCTCTAAATTGAAAGATTTTCTTTTGGCCGTCTATATCACGTATTTTAGGCATCCATTATTATAATTGGAAAACTTCTTGTATACATATAAAAATTACTGCTGGTATGCATTTACGGAGACTGAACAATGTACTGGCTATCAATACTTTTTATGTTATCTGCTGGTACAGTGTACAAGCACATTTTGGCTGGAAAAAAAAGGCCTGGTTGTATATTATAAATTAATATTTATTACTACTTTTTAAAAGAAATAATGTATGCAACATCAATGTAGATGAGCATAAAATTTAATTCATTAATATTTGATACTAATTTTGGAATCAGATTTGTTAACTCTTCTGTTAATTGAAAAATAGTGTTAAATTTATATATTAATTGATTGTTTCAGTTTTCTGACATAGTAAGTAAATGGATAGTGCTAAAAATATGGTTCCAGGTATCAAATTAAAATTCTTACACTGTAGATGATGCTGCTGAAGAGAGATTTGAGAAGGATGCAATGGTTCAGACATGGCAAAATGACAAAGATTCAATGTTAAGTCTACAGGACAAACATGTCAAGCAATTGTAAAACCTGTTATGATTCACACTTTTAGAACTGCAAATATAGAAAATAAAGGAACAAATAACTTATTTTAAACAAAAGAGAAAAATCGTCATTACCAACAGCTAAATAGAATAACTAATACTCTCAAACCTTAACAAAAGTGTAAAGGAATTGTTAACAAAGGTAAATTAAGTGGAATTAGTTTATTTATAAACGACAGTTCCCTACAAAATAATTTCATTTCAAATAAAAAGCAAAAAATAAGTTTTTTTTTAAATATAAAACAGCAAATATAAGTAAAAGCGTAAGTGAGAAACAACTGCACAAATTTTAGCAGAAATACAAACCTGATTCTTCCCACATGCCATTCTCCTACCTAAAACAAATTTGAACTCTTCCATTACTGGGAAAACCATTTAAAGCCTAGCCTTATGGATTAATCTATATATTAATTTAATTTAAAGAGGATTTCAGTGTTCTGACTTAGTTTGAGTAAACAGCTGGAAGCTAAAAATATGGTTCAGGTATCAAATCAAAGCTTTTATGCTATTTGCATTTTTCACCAGATGCTTACTCTCTGGTGTTTAAAAACAAAGCTATTTTATCTGGATCATTTGAATCGTTCTTATGTATTGTCAGCATTAAAGATGACTAGCAATAGGAAAAACAAAGCTTTTTGTTGCATTCCAATTTTCAATTCAAAAGCCACACAGGAGCCTGATAAGTTTTCATCTATTCCCACATGAAAAACAGATGATTATTCAGAAATCAGAACTTGGAGAAACTCAGAAAGTAACCAACAGACAGTGGGTTTGACTGTTAAGAATTGGCAAAAAAATTTCCTGATTGTTAAGCTTTATATGAACAAGTTATGCTATCAATTTTATAAGATTTTTCCTTAACGTTTAAAATGCCAGTAATTCTGTGTGGGACAGATGTCAAAGCTGATGTTTGAACACAACACAAATATGTATAGAATGATCTTGCTCATTTGTTTCCATAATATTACATAAAATGACTTGTCCCACTAGCATATTTGTTCTCCTCCTATAAAATTTCTTGATAAACAGCTGCAAGCAGCATATATATCATTATATCAGGCAGTAATATATATAATTATGTGGACTTTCTAAAAGCAGCCCCTATTATGCTTCTGACACCACTGTGTTTTCTGGCAAACACAGAAACCTTCGATTTTTTTCCCATGTATTTGTGGAATGCACGCAAGTGGCTATGTATGGGAATGAATGTGGGCAGATGGAGGAAGGATAGTTAGAGAGACAGGGAGATAAAGAAATAACAATATCTGTATCTCCCTGCAACAATAATATGCATTTAACAATAATTAACAATAATTTATTTTACGTAATGACTTTACAAGAGCGAACCTCAAATGGAAGAGTCTAGTTTATAATCACTTGGTGGGAGGGAGTTTACAAATTTCTGTGTGTGTCAATAAATACCTGGACTGGTGGAATCAGTTTGAAAGTTTTGACAAAGGGAAGGAGTGGAGGATCTTCCATTGGTTAGTAGATCTGGAATCCTGGATAATACAGTTCACAGTCAGTGTTCGGTTGTTAAAGGCAGCTAAGGTTTGATGAATGGCAGGAAGTTGAAGGGATCGGTAGTGGAGCACAGCTAGAATGAACACACACAAAAGGGGGTTGACAGGCAAACTCTCCTCTTGTCATCAGTCCTTTTCCCTTTATTTGGGGTCTTTCCCCTGGCATTTCAATGTCCATTTTTGGTGATGTGACCTGTTGCTCCACAACTTTGGTTTTACTTCCCTCAATGAGTAGTCATTCAGAAGCTGTGTCACTCACAGATGAAATACAATTTGTGGGAAAAAGTTCTGAAGTTCCTGAATGGTATCTATGACATGGGATCTTTTTTCCCCATTATAGTTTGGTGAAATAAATTTATAAAATTAAATTGGGTTTCTTTTAATCAAATAATTTGCACTAGCCCAGGTTCTCTCAATTAATTTACAAACGACCAGATAAAGTAACCATTTTGTAAAAATGTAGTGTCCTCTATAGTTCATGAAAAATGCAAATAAATGTTACTGCTGAAGAAAGATTTGAGAAAGATGCAATGGTTCAGGTGTGTTGTAGTGGCAAAGATACAATATTAAGCCTATAGAAAGGTAAGCAACAAACATGTTAGATACTTGCACACCATCTAGCAATTTCGGTCTTAATTATTTGAACAAACCATTGCTCACTACTACTGTGAATTCCTTCTTTGTTTGCTAATTACATACTAGTTAAAAGATATTTTTCATTATTTTTTTCAATAAATCAGTTTTGTCAATATTCACCTCAGTACCATCTATCAATTTTTAGTGTTACACACTGTTTTTATTCTACTAATACTTCATAATGAGACCAAAGTGTTATTATAGCTGTTTCACATTAGCAATTCATTACTTAATGCCAATTGAAAGCTTTCTCAACAAATCTACTAACTAAAAGAAGAATAAAGTTGAACTTGGTTGGTAGGTAAGAGTTTTATGATAGTCAGTGCAATTAATCTATTTGACCTGCTGCATCCTAGCAATCTATGAGATTGCTAGGATGCAGGTCAATGTTATCCACACCATTAATCTGAAATCCCACCAGTTGAAGTTGGTTGGCCTTATGAATGCTAAATTGCTACCCTGGGACCAGATGCAAAATTGAAAGAAGCCATTAAGAGAAAGGACTGGTGAGATAGCCTTATAGAACCAGAGAGAGCCCTGAAAACACTTGTACTTATGATTTTTGTGTAGAACACCAAATTTTAATTGAGCTCATTGTATTTTAATTGAATAAAACTGTTGATTTTGATGGGTTCCTGCTAATTAACTGTTATTACTGAAACTTGAGTAACAGTTAAGCCTTAAAGTTTTATCAATGTCAGAAAATATAAAATTTGTTTAAAATTAAAAAATGTTATAATAATCAGTTTTTGTTAGTTTAATTAATTAAATATTTGTTTATTTTAAAATTTTAACTTAATTATTTCATATATTATCATCAATATTCTAAATCAATCTAAAAACAATATAAAGTTACTTTGTCTTCAATCAATTGCTGTGTATAGTAAAGTTGTTATAAATAAAACAAATATTCATCTATCTTATATTTTTATTATTCATTCCTTCATATATTATTTTACACTACAAATAAAATAATTATTATAATATTATGCAAAATATATTACTCTGTCAATACTGTATGTATATGTGTATTGTATACTTCTAAACAGTTTAATGTTAAAATGAATTTTATTTTTATAGTATTTACATAGATTTGCAGCATATTTTCAACAAGGTGATATGGAATCCAATGGAAAATATGTAACAAGATCAGGTATGCAAGTGAATTACACTACAGGTCCAATAGTTTGGGGTGAACCTGGTACAAATGGACAACATGCATTTTATCAATTAATTCATCAAGGTATAAGTGAATTATTTTATAAAATAATTTTATTAAAAATTAAAATTTTNATATATCTAATTATATAGTCTTAATCATCCTAATCTATATATGAAGATTATCAATTGATATAATCAGAATGAATGTCTCTTTTATCTAGATAATTATACATTTACACTAATAAAACAAATATTTATCTTTTACATTTATTGCTATCTTGTTTTTATAAAAAAAAAAAAGACAAATCATAATGATTCTAGGTCAAAAATATTTAAATTTAAAATCATTATTGAAGTTTAACTAAATACATCTATATACTTTTCTATTTAAAAAATAATAAATTGAAATAATTACTTATAAACATGTTTAACAAGAACATACAATATTGAAATCTACAGTGTGTCTCACTTAAAATTGGCTGGCCAACTGAAATGATGAAACATTAGTGATGTGAATACAAGAGAAAAGAGAAAAAAATGCTAGTAAATCACAATTACTTATTCATATATAATTATACATTAGCATAGGTATACTTAATTTAGCTTCTGGAACTGATGTAAACATAATATATTGGAAATATTTGGTTAAATATTAATCACTGCTAATTTTAAATTAGTTTTGATGTGAGTATGTTAGCTGGTTTCTTGTTTTAATTTTTAGTAAATTCAATGCAGTAAAACATACATAAGTTGTAGAAAATAATGTTTGAATTTTTGCTGCATACTTCCTTAAGCCAGGAAATCAATATATTTATTCATATTTTATGTGACACAGGCCACAAAAAATATTAATGTGGGCCATCCCTGACTGACAGCATGTTTTGTATGTTTTTGTATGCTTAAATAATGTTAAAATAATGTTTCTAGTAAGTGTCTTTTGCCTAAATTCATTTGTATTGTTTCCAATGAGTGGCCAATTTTATATTATGGGGCACCATTTATAATAATATCAAAATAAATTCATTGCTGCTTCAAAAACAAAAAAAAAAAAAAATTGTCAAAAGTACTTTAAAAAGTTTTAATAACCATTTCATTAATTTTCAACATTAATGCAATGGTTATTAAGGCAATGATAAGCTAGGTTATCATTGCCATAATAGCCTAAAAAGAACCTAACCTCAAAAGGTTTTGTTACATATGTCAATCAACAAACTATATAGAATCTCTCAAATAAACAACATATTTCTATCAGTACATTGGTGGAACAAAGTGGTCTTTGACCATAGGGTTCATCACTGACTGTATTAGCTCAATATCCTTGTTAGATCTTTATATACATAAAACATCCCTGATATTATCTTTTCATGTTTTCTACATTTAATTTAATCCATATAATTATTCCAATAATCTCCTGCCCTGGCTACATTAATGCCCTAATATGTTGCATCTACTTATATTCCTTCTAACAAAGATTAGTGAACAAGGAACTGAATTACATTAGAATGGTAGTCACAAAGATGGAATATCTTTTAGTGAAATTTAACTACCTTAATGACAGTAAAAACATTATTCCTGCTTTCCACTCTGCATTAATGTTTTTCTTTACTAATTACAGGTAAATTTCAGTTTTTAAAAAGATTAAATTAATATTCCAAATGAGTGTTTTTAATTTAATTAAATGAGTGTAAATTTTAATAAATAATTTATTATTCTTTATGTCTTCTACCATAGAGTTTTCATTAACATTTATACCAGGAATGTAACCAAATCCAAATTATACTAATAATCAAATAAATGATAGTATTATTATTGAATGAGAAAGAATATCATTGAAGTATAAGTACAGTAAGACCCCACTTAACATGGGGATGTGTTCCTAGACAACAAAGTACTAAACAAAACAGCATTAAATGAGGTAATTTTAACATAGAGTAAATGGGGATAGGGGAACATGAGACCAAAAATAAACAAATATTACTTTAATTTTAAGTTATATTATTGTGCAAAATTATATGTATAGTAAGACACCACTTGTTCCTAGATGACAAGTGTTAAACAAGGTCATTTTAACATAGAGTAAATGGGGATAGGGGAACATGCAACCAAAAATAAACAAATTTTACTTTAATTTTAAGTTATATTATTGTGCAAATTAATATAAAAATATGTTAAATAACACATAAACATATGCACACAGAAATGCAAAGTTCATTTTTTGTGATGAAGGTCCCTGGCTCTTCTAAAATTCTTGATTTTTTTTGTGAAAAAGTCGTCTAGTGGCATTTGTCGCTTTCTTCTTCTTTTCTTAAGCAAATGATAGTAGCAGAAGATCGCATCCAAAACACCTTGTTTTGCTTTTGCACTTTTTTCAAAATATGGATCGTTCGCTATAATTTGATCAGTGATTTCAGTTATTGTTATCAAACTTTTACTAAGGAAATCTGTAACAAGTTCTTTCAGTATGCTTTAAAATTTACCACACATTTTCAGTTAGACTGTCAGAGTTGTGGGATGCCACTGTAATATCCTAATTCTGTCATATAACCAAGTCATTGTCTGTTTAACTTTGTGTGGCAGACAAGTTCTTTGGGTTCTTTGTTTTCAGAAACTCTGTTTTCCAGTTCTACATGAATTTCTTGTTCTGCCACTTCTTGAAGGTCATCATTGGTAAGGCTCTCACCAGAAACCTGCTGTAACTCCTCAATATCCTGCTTGTCTACATCTCCTAGTCCTGCTATATCGATTAGGTTGAGTTTGGTCAACCTAATGATACAGCGATAGGCTCTTCTCGTTGAGAATTCTTGGATACCTTCAGCCATGACTTCTTACACACTTTGTTCGTGCACTTATCAGTTAATTCTTGCCAAGCAAAGTTGATATTTCCTATGGCATCCATGATGTTATATTTTTTCCAAAATTGCACGAAACAAACATAGATTTAAAAAAGTACACCTTTTTGCCTCCCTTTTCTGATTAGTTCGTGTTCGTAAATAATCGTATTACATATGAATCAATGAAACGCCACAATAATTTAATTCAGCGTAAATTCTGAGCAGACCTTATTATATCGAATCAGTGTTAAGCAGGGTCTTACTGTACAGAAATATGGATGTTGATAATAAATGAAAGCTCATTAGTTTACTTTAGAGAATATTCTCTTTATTTGCTAACCATTTAAATTCAAATAAAAAGAAATAAAAGTTTACATATCAATATATGAGCTGCTGTAATAAATATATTTTAAATATACAAATTCAGGGACAGAAGTTCAACCATGCAAATTTTATTGGATATAATCAAACTAAAGAAGTGAAAATCAGATCCAGCTTTGGAATATAGATGTACAGTGCTTTTTAAGTGGAAAACAAATCTTAGGTTGTAGATTCCTGAAAGAAAGGAGAACTGAACTAAACTGAGTCAAACACATCAGAAAAGTTCAACATAGGATCATTTACTACTTTACCATGTCCCCTTTACATCAAAGACCTGTTTAAAGCTTTCAAGGTATTCTGTCAGTCTATCTGCTGGAAGTTTCTGCTTTCTTCCAACACATTTCATCTTCAGCTTGGCATGCAGGAATGTTCTAGCAACAGTATGCTTTAAAATTTACCATACATTTTCAGTTAGAGTGAGGTCAGAGTTGTGGACTACCACTGTAATATCCTAATTCTGTCATATAACCAAGTCATTGTCTGTTTAACTTCGCGTGGCGGACTGTTGTTGTGCTGAAAAAGGCATGCAAATTGGAGAAACAACAAACACTTGAATGGCAAAAATTTCTTTTGTAAAATTTTAACATGATAATTACCTTTGATAGTGCCACAGCACTAACAAAACAACTAATGCTGTGAGTCCCAAACCATTACTTACACTGATTTTTTAATGTATTTTTGATAACAGTATGGGTTGTAGCTTTGTCAGATAACTCTTCAAACCAATCAAACCATATATTTAGAATACTGATTTGTTTTACCAAATCATGTCTCTACTTTTGTATGTCTCACTTCAGGTGGGCTTCTCCCATTTTTTGCAACTGCACCTATTTAACACTAAGCAAAAACTACTGTACCTAACAGTGTAATACAAGTAGAATCTGAATCAGGCTAGGTAGTAATGCTATGTACATTCAAAAATGTTTGTATGAAACGTTTTCCTTGTCTATTTGGTTATTTCTGTAATAGAGATGCTTGTACTTGTGCGTTTTACAATAGAGATTTTCCTTGACACATCTGATCCCAAAAACAATAATAATAGTAACAAAGAGATCCCACTCATTGTAAATTTAATTAAAGCAGGAATTCAATTGGCCAACAAATTGGAAAATAATTTTTGCATACATGATCCCATTGTTAAATTAGTTGAGCAGTTTAAACAGATTAAACATGATAACTGGGGACCTGAGTGAGATAACCTCACTCAGGTCTCCAGTTACCAATTACCAAAAACTTTACGAAGACCTGACCTAACCAAAACAGGATCACAACTAATAACTGAATTCATTGTCAAAACCAATAAAACTTCAGCAATGCCATAAAAAATGGCTAATTTTGTTTAAAATGCCAGAGGGGAGAAACTCACCACTGGAGTGTGAAGATAATGACTAAAATATTTCAAGCAATGAAAGTGATTTTGCCGTCTTACACCAATGAATGTGTTTATTGTGAGAAATTGAATAAAACTAGTTATTATGCATGTAAGGAAAGTCATATTTCTTTTGTCTAATTTTTGTGTTCAAGATTTAGTGACTCACGTTTTTGGTAAATGTTAATTAACTTTACATGCATTTCATAAACTTATAAGCACATAAACCAAATTAAGATTTTAACATAGATTTTCAAATAGTTTGTTTGAACATACCCTATTATATTAATTGATTTATTAGATTATTTTTACTGGTTTCTAAGATCTGGAGAAGTCTTTTATTTTCCATATGGATGGCCTCTCTTTTTATGCAGTTTTTTTTTAAGCAGATTTTTCAAGATATTTTGTCAATATATTTTTTGAAATATATTTTGACAAAATATATTTCAAAAAATTAGTCTAGGTACAGGTGTTTTATCCTATACAAGAGGCACTTAAAAAATTAATACAAAAACAATAATTACATTAATAAATATTATAACAATTTGTTTAAACAAAAAGTTACAATTCAACATGACCAAAAAAATAATGAATTGTTTAAATAATTTGTATTAATGTATAATGTCCATTGACACTCCAAGAAACATTTTCTGTAACTAAAATAGTTGTATGAATGTAATGAATTATGATTCATGCCAAGATGTAATGATGCATAAATTTGAATTTCTCTGGCCCACCAGTGGCAAAATGATAAAACCACTGTACATTGGTAGTGGTTTTGCATCTCATCACCATATTGGCCATGTGGCATTTTGTTGTGGGTTTTCTTCATGTGTCTAACACCTAAATAGGGGCCATTTTCACATAAAAGTCCCTTTTGAAGGCACCTCCCTTATGTTGCATTGCATTACAATGATTTTTAACTGGGGTACGAGATGGCACACAAGAATGTTTCAATGACACTTCTGGAGAGCTATGAAATATAGTGATAACATGTGTAGAAAGTGTTATGGTGCTGTTTATTAAAAGTTGTTTACATTCAAATGTAATTAAAACAAGCATTTATTTATTGTGACATCATCACATTGCCAGGCTGCAATGTTTAATCATATTTTTTAATTTATTTAATTTAAAATATATACTCTCCACCTTCAAATTGGTAGTGTTGCTCCTGTATATCACACTCTTCCTTTATAGCATACGAGTCACGCCTGCTCATCAGGTACAGATCTACATAGGGACTATTAGGGCTTAAGCCCTGAACCCCAAGTGTGAAGAGACCATAAAAATTGAATTATCATCATCAAATTTTTAATACTTTTTCATTAACAATGAGCACTTATAAAAAATAACACTTAGTAAAAAATTATTATTATTAATTATGATAATTTATAGTATTATTTGCATTAAAAATGGGGCTCCATTGGACTTCAGTAAGCCCTAGGCCCCAAAAATCCTAGATCCACTCCTGCTGCTCACATATCTAACTCCTTTCAGGGGAACTTTTGAATTGAAATAACATGACTTCCAGTTTACATTGGAAATTCACATAGTTAATTGGGGCTTCCTGCCCTCAAGCTTTCCGCATCTGGTCTAACACTGTTCTTGAGAGAGATGATAGTGGGTATTTATAGGTCTACAATTTTTTCAAATTGCAGCCCAATTATAAATTATTTAATACCTTTGTATACAATTTGAAATGATTATTATTACAAAATAATTATATACTTTGTACATGTTTAGTCTACAAAGTAGTAATACCAAAAGAAAAAAATTACTAAATTGGGGATTCCATTATTAGAAAAGGGTTGAAAATCACCATCTTATACCGTCAAACTATTGGACTTATGTTTTAGATATATTAATATAATACTTAGCTTTTTGAGAAATTAATGTATTATAAATGATTGTAGAAAGTATCTAATTAATTGTATAATCTTTTTAAGGAAATTGCATGGTTGTTCATCTTCATATAAAAACATATTGGAGATGGAATTTCTAGCATCTAATTTTGTTTTTCAAAATTACCTAGTTGTTACCAGGAATGAAAAATAGCATAAATAAGATTTCTTGATCCTTTAAAAAATACTGAGTGAGAGAGAGATACACTGTAACAGCATATAACATTTCCAGTTTTGCTCAGAACTGTCAAGTATTTAAATAAAGATCTCACAAAATTTATTCTTAACATTTAATAGATATATAGCCAAAGTTTACTTTAAAAAATAAATTATCAATAGTTCATTTTTATTCTTTATAGGTATTTTTAGGAAACAAACCAACAAATTCAATTTTGGTTGATAAAATGACACCTTTCAACTTGGGAGCTCTAATTGGTAAAAACTTAATTTTTCTTTTATAATCAAAATAATAATAATGCTTGATAACCTTAAATATGTTTTTCTTCTTTCAAGCAATGTATGAACATAAAATATTCACTCAAGGAATCATATGGGATATAAATTCATATGATCAGTGGGGGTATGTTTATATTCTGTGATGATAATCAATATTTAGTATTTATACAAATTATTAATATTCTTCTTTTTATATAAATATTTTAGAGTTGAATTGGGAAAACAATTGGCTAAAGTCATTCATCCTGAACTTCAGTCATCTGGTCCTGTATCCAGTCATGATTCTTCCACAAATTCTCTAATTAATTTCATCAAAGAAAATAAGTAATTTTAATAATGTTAAGAAAAAGCGTAATTAAACCAAATAAGTTTTAAAGAAAATTGCAGATTGTTTTAATTACACATTTTTGTATAAGAGACTAATAAACTAGGGTAAATCAGAAATTTAGTATAAAATAATTATGGGAACGATCAAATATTTGTTTATTCAAAACTGCCATTATTGTTTACAGTATTAAAATAATTAAGATATTAGAGAATGATATATGTCAATTGAAAATAATGTATTAAAGTTATTTAGTCTATAAATGTTATTGTTACAAAAATCACATTGTCAATTATTAATATTTAAACTCATTTTCAAATTTTTATAGATTCAATAATGGAAACATCATTTTTTTGTTGTAATTTTCTATCTTACTATGAAATGTTACATTTCTTTTTTAATAATTATTTTAATAGAACCTTTCTCTAGGTATGTTTTTAATATTTCTTTTGTTCAGAAAAATAAATTAAACCTTGTTGTTGCATTAATCATTTTTAGTGTAATTTCATTAAAATGAACATTAATCAAATGGATGAACAAATTAAATGATTATTTGAAACTATTCCAGCTAATGAATTTAACTTTTATCAATAAAAAAAAATCTGATTATTTACAAAATATGTTTTAATAAGCTTTTGCTGAACAAAATGATAAAAATTTGCCACTTGTGAATAAGAAAAAAATATTTCTAATAACATTTAATATTTTCTAAATTTTCTTGGTCAAAATTAATGCACCCTTTTTTCAATGCTGTCTAGAGAGAGATTTATCAGTCTAAATGCAACCAATATGGTATGGTAATGTCTCCATAAAAACCATTAGCACCAAAATTCACCACTTTGGTACTTTCATATATGTATATGAGTCACTTTTTTCACTTACGTGGTCTGTTCAAAAAGTATCGGACCTTTTTTTTTCCACGTAAATTAATGATGCGCGAGAGGCCTCCTTCAGTGGAGTTGTGGACGGGACAGTCATGCACAGCCCTGAATTTTTTCCTGCCTGCAGGAAGCGTCAGTCATTGGCAATCGGCCTATGAGTGAGGTCATGTAGTGTGCTCTCGTCGGATTCCACTAAGCTGGAAAATGACTGAACAATGTGAGCAGCAATATTACATCAAATTTTGCCAAAAACCTTGGCGATACCCAAGCGTAAACCATTTGCAAGATTCAGCAGGCTTTCAGGGATGATCCTCGAGGCCAAAAAAGCGCGGCAGGTCCGCAGTAATATCAAAGGTCATGTTGACAGTTTTTTTCGACTCTCGTGGGGTGGTGTGTCGTGAGTATGCACCACAAGGCCAAACCATCGCAAAGGAGTACTACCAGGAGATCCTTCGTCGTCTTTCCGATACAGTGCGACGCAAACGACCGGATCTGTGGTCAATCAAAACTTGGCAGCTCCATTGTGATAACGCATCCGCCCATTCTGCGCATCTGATTCGGGCTTTCGTCGCCAAACACAATACTCCTGTGGTTCGTCACGCTCCGTACTCTCCCCACATGGCTCTGTGTGACCTTTGGCTATTTCCCAAGCTGAAAATGCTGCTAAAAGGAACCCGAATTTAGTCGAGAGAAAACATCGTGCGGAATCCGACGGACCGGCTGATGGCCATTCCAAAAGATGCGTTCCAGCAATGGCAGGAACGCTGGGAGAAGTGTATACATTACCAAGAAGACTACTTTGAAGGGGATTAGGGTTTTGTACCTCAAAGTCAATAAATTTATTTTTGCCGACCAAAGGTCCGATACTTTTTGAACACACCACGTATTTTTCACCAGTTTGAGGAAAATGTCACTTTTTAATCAAAAACTTGGTCTTATATTTTGTGAGATTGTTTTTAGAATAAAATGTTAGAAAGCATTTGAGGACATCAAGAGTTAAACAGTCTTTTTGACTATTGAAGATAATCTGAAACCATAAACCAGAACTTATTAAACTGTTTACTGATAATTATAAGTCTTGCTCTTAATAATTACAAAAGCTATAAAAATTCTTTTAAAGAAAAAGAAATAAATGAAGAAAATGAGAGGAATGGAAAAAGAGGCAGAAATAAAAAATTTTAAAGCCAGTAATACGTCTGTCATGATATTTTAGGATTTTTTAATTTGTCCTTTTATTAACATGAAGCAATTAATTATTATTAAAAAGAAAAAGGTCTTTTTAAAATTTCAAAAAACTGATATGTATCAGATCACATTAACACAAAAAAAAATATTCAAGCATTTTATTTGGCATTTAATTTAGGGCTGCTACAAACTTTTAAGGACGGATTAAAAAAATAATTTGTTCTTGTGTGAAATAGTTCAAAGCATTTTTCAAGACTCACAATACTGTATAGTATGGAATTTATGTTGATGGAACTTGAACCAGATTTGATGCCAAAACTAAAAAAAAAAACTATTTCTGACCTGGGATTTTCATTTATTAAATCTAAAGCTTTACCACCATTAAATTTTTCTGCATGCAGCCATTTACAAAAGAAATATTGAATAATGTGTACCACTTTTTTCATTAAATGTATTTTCTACATTGATAACAGATGAGTTTAGAATCATTTGGCTCTATAGAACATTTAAAACTGCAAATGATGAGACTTGTCCATTTTTTAAAGGAAAACTGGCTTCATGAGTGAGACTCCTCAATAAACAAGAAAGTATTAAATATCTCTCACACTTGATTTTAAATATACAGAATTTCATGTAGTGGTGCAGTAATTATTTGATTAAAAATATTGTTTTCAAACTGAATAACTAAGCTTTTTACTTTGCAAGGAGAAGCATGGCAGTTTGACAGAGCATTATATGACTGATGATTGAAAAAGAGAAGAGGAATATTTATGTGGGAGCAATTACAAGAACTCTTAAATCTAGAATGGATGAGCATCACTAAGATCTGAAGGCTAGAAAAGTAGCATTAAATCAAGAAGGAATGAGGAAGTGAAAGTAATTTGGGAACAAGCCAAAATTATTGATATGATAAAAGGAGAAAATATAAGAGATGCAGTATAGAGGAATAGATTATTAATAGTAAAGACAGTCTCCCAATGACTGAGGTATTCCTGATTAGAAGAAAAGGGAAATTGGAGATAATGGGACAGAGGGCAGGAAACTGGATTTTTGTGTGTCCATGATATTTTGGAGTAAGTGTTTTTTAGATAATCTAATAAGTTGATGGATGTTTCAAATCTGTGTCAATGTTAATAAGAATTTGGTTTTTAAGTATTGTAGATTTTAAATTGTTAAAGCGGATGAAATATAAACAGATCCTCTGCTGCCACATTAAATAGTTGGCTACTGGAATTCTGAAATGTTCTAGAACTTTAAGAATTTTGCATGCTCTTAATTTCAAAAAATATTCTAAAGTTCTTGGTTCTAATTTGTTTGAGGAGTTTTTGGGCAGTTTAGAAGTAACAGATCCTTAATCCTTGAAGATGGACTGACAAAGTCAAAAAGCACTTGTGTTTGTTTGTGGTGTTAAATAGCGTACTCAAATCAGAAAAACTATAAAAATAAAGTAAATTCATTAAAAAGTCTTTAATAATTAATAAACATTTCAAATGTGTTCAGACCAAAATAAGTTTTACTTTGCATAAATGCTATATAATGCATTTAGATTCCTATACTTAAATTTTTTAATCTTAGTCATTATTAGAGAGGTTGCGGCCAACGTTTTCAAAGCGAAAACGTGTACGTCGGACGATCGGCGCCGCCTTTTTTATAAGCCTAGAAGTTTGACAATGGTGTTTGGATAGTCAGTGGAATCATGCTCAACGTCGCAAACACAATTGCCAAACTTGTAGGCCTTTAGGAGAGCGGCGCTGAACGTCCGACGTACACGTTTTCGCGTTGAAAACGTCCGCCGCAACCTCTCTATTTATTAATGGGTAAAACATTTTTCAATACTTCATTCTATCATCAAATCCTTTCTCAAGCATAGATCTGATGTTGATATATAGTAGTCCTGATCCATTAAAATAAATGTTAACTTCTATACTTTAAATAGCATTTCTCTGTAGAGTATAAAACTTAGTAAATTTTATAAAATTTTAATGTTCCAGCCTTTTATTTTTCTGACAGAAAGAATTTTTTTATAGTATTTGTGAGACTCTTGTGGGCAGTTTAGAATAATACCATCTAAAATTTACTGAAAATTTTAGATGGTATTATGAAATTGACAAAAAGTTCTTAAGAAAGGTTTTATTTCAATTAAACAATGAACAATAAGAGGACAAAGCACAATAACTTGCTTGCAGAACCTGTGAAATCCTAGAAAACTTCTGGGAACATTTTAGGACAACTAAACAAATTTTTCTGTTTTTTTTCAAATAATTCTACTATTATACAAAATCTTTTCAAATGATTGCTGTCTGCATATTTTAAAAAAGCATATGACAGTAAACCTAGATCAAGTCTTTGGAATATATTGAAGGAATAAGCAACACTGGAAAACTTCTTTATAGGGAACCACAATATTATGGTTAATATCCTCATAAGCCAAACTCTACGTGCCTGTGAGATCTCTTTGGTTACTCAAAAAAATCCAGTTACAACTGATCAAATATCTTTACTTTTACTTTTCAGTAAAACATGATATATGCATTTCAGACTGAAGCATAATTAACAATCCCTCTTCAGTGTTAAGTGTACAGTGGGTGGTTGGTTAATGAACATAATCCGTTCCAAGACTGTGTTCGCTATCTGAATTGTTCATTAACTGATTATCAATTTACCATAGATTTTTATGGGAATTTGATTAATCACTTCTGGAGACCCCCAAAAATAAAAAATTATACACTTTCCTACTAAGTTTTTTTATATGTAATAATAAAAATACATATATACACAGTCTTGCATTTTTATTAGTCACGTTTTTTTCTATTTGTGGGGCATTAAAGAATCTGTCCAATGTCAATTGCCTTTCTCTCTTCAGGATTTTTCAGAAGTAATTAATATCATTGTCGTTATAGTGATCTCTAAGCCTATTAACCTCAACCAGGTTTTTGATGCCATTCTAAGACCATTGTTCCTCCCACTTCTTTAAAAGATCTTTAATAGCAGATGTCAGCATTAATCCTCTTTTACAGAAGAAAAATATGTTGACAAGTTTCTTGGCATTCTTCTGTCGTCAGATCCGTTCCAGGTTCCATTATAAGCTCTTCAATGTTCTTTATTTCTCAGATGTAATTTTTGTTACTTCTTTAGCTGTTTGAGTCTTCTTG